AAAGGCATTTGTCCGGAGTTTGTAAATACTAAGGATTATAGAGCGCTGCCCTCCGCTCCCCGCCCCGCCCACTGCCTGTTAATAGCTGACGTGTATGCCTTCTGGGTCTCAGGAAGCTCTTCCTTACTGACTTCACACCTTGTTCAGTCTCCTTTTGATTACTGTAGTATTTCCAAGAATGTATAATTTGGTGGATTTTGGTAATATGAACAGTTTAATTGTCAACCAGCGTTCTTTCTCTTCCCTCCCCAAAGCCCTATGTAAACTCTTGCTGTGGATTACAAAGAATTTTCTGGGAGCGTTTCAGACAGTCTGGCACAGAGCTAGCCTTCAGACAGTCACTTGATATTTTAAATTTTATTTTCTTATTGAAAAAAGTATTTTGGAGATCTTCTGTGTGTGCTACATGGGAGATAGCATGGAGGATGAAATGCCATGTTTCCTCTCATTGTATTGTTTGTTCTATAGAATTCTTGTTAGTCCAGGCCCACTGAGCTCTTAGCTTTTCTCGCCTGAGCACCTATCAGCCGAATGCACTTACAGTCCCACTTACTGTTCTGAGGGGGAAAAGGAGTCAGTGAGTGTCACACAACAGAAAGCTTGGATATACTTTGCTGCTCCCGCCAAAGGCTGTGTTCACTCCTGCCTATTTTCTCAGGGGCTCTCTGAGCATGGGGGAATGGGTTGGGGAGAAGTAAGAAGAGTGTGTAACCAAATGTACTAAAAAGCTTCTTTATGTGCCTACTCAACATTTTAAGTTGGTCATGAGAGCATGGCAGAATTACATTTCTTGGTATAATGTACACTGACCGTCTCTTGTTTTTATCAGGGAACTGCCTGTGGTGCTAACTCAATAACATACAAATAAAATCAAGAATGACCAATGTCTCTCTTTTTCTATTACAGGCTCCACTCATTTTTTCGTCGCTTTAAAAGTCCCTGTCACAGAAAGAGGGCAGCCTCAGCACTGCTGTATTTTACATTCTGGGCATAAAGCGCTGGAGGTGACAGAGCAGTTGCTCCTTTTCCCCTGATGGGTCTGACAGCCACTACAGGCCCTCCAAGTCTAGAGTTCAGCAATGAGCTGGAACGCTAAAGAGCTATCAGCAGCTGTCAGCCCACAGGTAATCGTGGGGGGATTAATCATTCTAAAAGCGCTTATCCGCCCATCCCCTCCACAGCGGGCACATTAAACACCTACAATCTATTGCACAGCCTAGGTGGGTTTCTTTTCTAGGAGTATTATCTAAAACCCACAATCACTTCTGGGTTTTGCTTTTTATTCCTTTCCCCAAATATTTTTCTCAATATTCTTATGCTTCAAAACAAATTCTCAAAGCCTGTATTTATGGGATAGTCCAGGACAGAATTCAATGTTCTGTCTTATTCTCCACTTGGGTTCCAATAATAGAGGGAGGCAGGATTTCATATGCTTGATCCTTTCCACGGTGGGGAATCAGACAACCAAATGAGTATGCCACTGTTGTGTAAATGAGCCAGAGAAATACCTTTAACCTGGATCTTCCAGGCCAGGATAAAGAAGAGATAAAGACCTCCCTACTATCTACCACTTCAACATTGAGTATTTGTAATGACAAGTCACTCGTCACTAAAATCCATCCCATCTCCAGAATGGCTCACAGCAGACAGATCTCTCAGCAGGTAGTCAACTTCCCTTTTAACCCTTCTTCATCATGACACCATATTATCTTTCTTAAATCAGCATATTATCACATCACTACTCTGCATCCTCCCCTCCTAGTACTTGGATGACTCTTGTATTGCCATTTGGATAAGTATAATCTTTACCATCTTATTCAAGATTCCCCATTATTTTCTCTTCCAGGATATTTTCCACTTCTCTTCTTTTCATTATCTTCTTATACAAAAGCTCATTTTTGCAAATGTCTCTTGAAATTCTCTAACAGAAGGCAATTCTGAAATGAACACTCAAGTCAGTTATAAGAAGTTCAGTACTAACCAAGCCCTGTGAGTGAAAATAAGCCTGAGCCAAAAAGGGACATTGGGGTGGTTCCATTCTTAACCTACTTCCCTAATGAGGCTCTAAAAACTCCAGACATGGAAAATGAACTTGCCTTCTAGGAAATGGGTTGCCATATTTAGGTAAGGTTATTCATCCTTTGAGGATACTCTAGAGTTTCCATGAGTCTGGAAACATTTCATCTGGCCTATCATAGTGGAACTGAAGAGTATAGCATGCAAATTTTAAAGTTGAAATATTCCATTATCAACAACTTATTTTAGCATTCCTAAAAGAGCGTATAATTTTAAGTATCTTAAGAAAGAACATGGTAGACAACATCCCTTTGCCATTAATTAGAGATACTGAGTCTATGACTAAACATATTATTCATGCTGTGTTTCAGGTTTGCCCAACTAGCTAAGTCACTGAAAAGGATAATTAGTTCAGAGTTCAGGGGAAACGGTTTTAGATTTTTTTCATCATTTTAGTCTGGTTCATAAAAATATCATAATATCAAAATTCTGATCTCAACCAAATGATCTTTTTATTTCATCTGAGTAAAATAATATGAAGTACCTGGTTTAGCCTCTTTTCTTAAATCTTCTTTTGGAACGATGCTTTCTAAATTCAAAGGGTAGCAGTTGTTTTCCGGATTTCAACCTTGATTTGCATAGAATCAATCTAGATGGTTTGACTTCCTAAATCTTAAAGAAAGGGTCTTTCACATTAACTTAGATAAATGTGCATGTAACTGATTCCTTGTACCTTGGTAGAGTAGAACATTGACTACTTGCTTTCTAAGAATATTCATTTTTATTCTAAAAGTCAAGGATTAAAATGAGCTATTCTCTACCATATTCAGACATGGTGATCTTAACAGGGTAAAGTAGTTTGTATTTTCACAACCCTTGATGCTGCAAATTGAAGGGAGCAGAATATGCCATCCCAAAATGTGCCCCTTTGGCATATGGATTATTTTGAGAAATTGCACACACAGGAGAAGCTCTGAAAGCAGAGTAGAGATTATCCTTTTTCTCAGGGAAATATTTAATTATAATGAAAATTTATATTAGAAAGGAGGTCTGTACCAGGGAGAGAGCTATTAATAGAGATAACTTTTTACCTAAGAGATTTATCCATATGCCAGGGCAACATTTGTTTATCAAATATTTTCTCCTCTCTGCTTCCCTGTAAATTGCTCTCCTCCAATTCTCCTACATCTTCCTTTTGCTTTACCTGAAGATGGTCCCTAAGATGGTGGCTTGGGACATATCAGGGAGTTACTCATTTTTCCTGGGTATCTCACGAGCATGTGAGGTATACATGTTATTAAACTTCTGTTTGTTGTTCTCTTGTTAATCTTTTATTGCAGGGAGTTTCAGCCAAGAACTCAGAAGGGTAGAGGAAAATTTCTTTTTCCTCCTCTCCAACATTTAATAACCACTGAAAGAAACCCAATAAACAAAATTTATAATGATTAACACTAGCTGCTGCTTTTGTGAAGTGGTTGATGTTGTTGCTGGGAAACTAAATGGAAAGAAACTAGAGAAAACCAAAGCTTTTACATTTGCAGATTTAGCATATGTGGAGGTAAGATTTGTTTCAAGGATTTGATTCTTTTTAGCTTGATTTAATTTATGCTGGTTGTGAGATAAGGTATCTGGATACTCACTTTTAATAATCATATCAACATTTAGTGACACTTTGGTGATGATTTATACTTGAAGCTTACTATTTGAGAAATTATAGATCTAGCCTCAGAAAAAGCACATGCACACATGCACAAACACTCACACACACACACACACACACACACTCACTCACACAGAGTATGAGATCTAAAATATGTAACATTTGCCAGAAAGCAGGACTCTTAGTAAAATGTGAGCTTCAAACACTGGCTACGCAAAAGGAAAAGGCCTCATTACTAAATCTGATATACATTTATAAATCCAAAGAACCCGTGAGGTAGACAAGTAATTTATGTAAAAATTTTGGTTTTGCCTACATAAATGATTGCCCTATTTCACTATTTCTTTAGTCTTGATAACTCAAATGCTTTATTATTTAGTGAAGTTCACTGTGAATTTATCAGGTGATTAGCTAAAAATCACAGGTGTCATAGATTATATTTAATTGCAAGCTGCTTTGTTTCAGAAGCATTCTACCTGCCCAACATATATATCTTTCCCAACCTCTTCATCTAGAACACTAGAGGCTAAATTAAAATCACCTGGAAATTGTTCACTTAAAAGTGGTTAAAATTATAATTTTCTGTTACATATATTTCAGTAAAATAGTACTTCAGTCTTTTTTTTTTAATTGTAGTGGGTTTTGCCATACATTGACATGAATCAGCCATGGATTTACATATGTTCCCCATCCTGATCCCCACTTCCAGCTCCCTCTCCATCCCATCCGTCTGGGTCTTCCCAGTGCACCAGCCCTGAGCGCTTGTCTCATGCATCCGACCTGGGCTGGCGATCTGTTTCACCCTTGATAGTATACTTGAGTATTTAAGATCACCTGGGGTGAGTCCCCGCCTGCGCTGCTGCCGCCTCTGCCGCCACTCAGGGTCCGGCTCCGCTCCTCCTGCTTCTCCGCCTTCTTTCCTGAGCGCTGCCCAGCCGGCCGCCATAGCCAACATGGCCGACACGAAACTACGACATCCTAGGCGTCCCGCCTGGCACCAGCGAGAACGAGCTGAAGAAGGCATACAGAAAGTTAGCCGAAGAATACCATCCTGATAAGAACCCAAATGCTGGTGACAAATTCAAGGAAATAACTTTTGCATATGAAGTACTATCAAATCCTGAGGAGCGCGAACTGTATGACAGATACGGAGAACAAGGTCTTCGGGAAGGTAGCGGTGGAGGTGGGGGCATGGATGATATTTTCTCTCACATTTTTGGTGGAGGATTATTTAGCTTCATGGGTAATCAGAGCAGAAGTCGAAATGGCAGAAGAAGAGGAGACATAGTGCATCCACTCAAAGTATCTTTAGAAGACCTGTATAATGGCAAGACAACCAAACTACAACTTAGCAAGAATGTACTCTGCAGTGCATGCAGTGGCCAAGGTGGGAAGTCTGGAGCTGTTCAGAAGTGTAGTGCTGGTCGGGGTCCAGAGGTACATCATGATCAGACAGCTGGCTCCAGGGATGGTACAGCAGATGCAGTCTGTGTGTTCTGACTGTAATGGAGAAGGAGAGGTAATTAATGGAAAGGGCCGCTGTAGAATATGTGAAGGGAAGACAGTGATTAAAGAAGTCAAGATTCTTGAAGTCCACATAGACAACGGCATGAAACATGGACAGAGAATTACATTTACTGGGGAAGCAGACCAGGCCCCAGGAGTGGGACCAGGAGACATTGTTCTTTTGCTACAAGGAAAAGAGCATGAGGTGTTCCAGAGAGATGGGAATGATTTGCACATGACATATAAGATAGGACTTGTTGAAGCTCTTTGTGGATTCCAGTTCACATTTAAGCACCTTGATGGATGTCAGATTGTGGTGAAATACCCCCCTGGCAAAGTAATTGAACCAGGATGTGTTCGTGTTAGTTCGAGGTGAAGGAATGCCACAATATCGTAATCCCTTTGAGAAAGGTGATCTTTACATAAAGTTTGATGTGCAGTTTCCTGAAAACAACTGGATCAACCCAGATAAACTTTCTGAATTAGAAGATCTTCTGCCATCCAGACCAGAAGTTCCAAATATTACTGGAGACACAGGGGAGGTAGTGCTTCAAGAATTTGATAGCACGCGGGGCTCAGGAGGTGGTCAGAGGTGTGAAGCCTCTAATGATAGCTCTGATGAAGAAAGCAGTAGCCATCACGGACCAGGAGTGCAACGTGCCCATCAGCAAACTCTGCAAACAAATTGCACAAGTGGATTTTCTTTCCACACTGGCCTGGTTTGTTTTCTGCAATCCAGCTGGAACATCTGGTCAACCCAGATGAACTGATGGACATCTGTTGGTCTATGTGTAACTTTTAAAATTGGTATAGTATCAACAGAGTGTATAATTTAAACTAACCACAAAGCTTTACATCTTCATTTCAACTGTTCTATAGCAGAATAAAGCACTTGAAAGGAAACAAGACTCCTTTTCACACATGGGTTATAAGTTTCAGTCCTGATACCTGTGCTTGATTTTTATCAGTTTTGCGTAGACTTTATGTTTCATATTTTAAATTCAAATCCCACATTGTAAAGTTTGTGTGCAATTTGTCCTGAAGCTTTGTGTTTGGCTGCACCTGCATAAGCTGCTACAAATAAAATAAGGAATTTCATAGCCTGTATCTATCATTTATATGCAAGGGAAAATGGGCTTTGCACACAATGGGTTTGGAACTGACTGGGAACAATGAAAAAAATATCATTAGCTGAGCTGTGGTTGTCAAGTTTTGGGCAGGGGGCGGGGGGGGGTGTTTCTTTTTCTCCCCCCCCCCTTTTTTTTTACCATCTTGTGAAAGGTTTCTAGAAATGAATAATAAAAAGCAGTTGTTATAAATTTAAAAAAAAGATCACCTGGGGTGCATTAAAACAAATAATAGAGAAGATAAACAAAACCCCAGCCCCACCCCAAATGTTGGGCTTTAATTATTTCTGTTTGTAAGGCATCCATATTTACTAAGCCCCACAGAGATGGTTCTGTTTTGCCGCCAAGATTGCCAGTGTCTGACCCAGATGATCCCTTTCTCTGCCAGCCCCTATCCCGGGGTGCTGTCCTGCACACTGATGTCGTATCAGCGCCTGAAACACTGCTTCGCTACTCCACGCCTCTGTTCCAGTTCCTCACTTGCTCCCCAATACTGAGCCATTTCCAACTCTTTAAACAGTAACTTCTCTAAATGGGAAAGATTCCATTGTGCAAAGCAGTCAATGCTCAGTATTAATTTTAATGCTGGGCAATTATTTTAAAGATTAAAAGACTGACACAGAACATGATACATGAGTCTGGTACCTAGCTTATAAAATATGTAGTTACTCGTTGAGATTAAAAATATTTTGCTTGGTGGACCTTGTCTAGAGAACTGATACTCCAGCATCGGGGTTTCATTTTTGTGGGTTAGGGAAGTGAATCATTTTTAAATGCATATCTGTAAGAAGGAGGTCTGATGTGGGATTGCCTTTCCTTTCTGATTGGACCTCTAACTCGAAGGAAAATTTGGTGGGGTTTTGGTAAAGACACCCTGAGAATACCAGGCATCTTCAGAGTTTCCAAGAGTGAGAAGCCTACTGTAAGGGATGGAGTGAGAATGCTGGAAATCAACTCTCTTTACTTTGCCATTTTCCTGCAATAGTTCTGCTGTAAGGGGTGTGTGTGTGGGTATGTGTGTGTGCACATGCACACCCATGTGCACTTGTGAGATATGCACAATAAAATGGGAAAATATCATTTTAATCATAACTGGCTTCAGAGATTAAACAGGGTCACTAAAATAGCAGCAAGCCTTTACTTCAAATTTACAAAAAAAGAGCAGTGAGGGACAACTTGCTCAATTAAATATTAAAAAGTACTCTAAAGTTACAAAAGCTAAACCATCATGAGATATTGTAACATCAGAATATACAGAAAGATAAAAGAATGAAGAAAAATTCAGTAAACAGACATATCTATGTATATATGTACACATATACATTACTTAGTACACAGTAGAGATGATATAAATTCATGAAACCATCAAACAATAAAATTGTTGTTGTTTAGTCCCTAAATTGTGTCCAACTCTTTTGCAACCCCATGGACTGTAGCTAACCAGGCTCCTCTGTCCCTGGGATTTCCCAGGCAAGAATTCTGAAGTGGGTTGTCATTTCCCTTTCTAGGGGAACTGCCCGACCCAAGAATGGAACCCACATCTCCTGCATTGGCAGGCAGATTATTTGCCACTGAGCTACCTGGGAAGGCCCAAAGAATAAATAGTGTACATTAAATACAATAATGTGATGTACTCATTGGCACAGAAAGAAAACATGAGACTCTTGTTTTATACAAAACAAGGTAGATTGATAATTCTGGAAAAGCTCAATCAAAAAACAAGTTTTTCCCAAGGTAGTACTTTGTAGATATTTTTTTATTTTCTCCTTTTATTTTGTGAGTTTTTAAAATTCTAAGTTATATAACTGTGTAAAAATGGTTTATCATTTTAAAAAGGCTAAAATCAAAAAGGCTTTCTTTTTATATCAGAAGCTTATAACTCAGTGATAATTTATTCTGATACCATCTTATAATTACAGCAGGGTTTGCAGGAGCTTTGATTGCTTATAAAAATAGCAGCCCAAAGAATATAGAGTAACATCTGAAAAAAAAAAAAAAAAACAGTTTCCTAAAGTTTCGGTGGAAGATTATACAAATAAAGTAAATACTAGATTTATAGATTAATATGAACAAAGAAATTATCTTCCAGCTGAGTGAATACAGGAGGTGAAAGTTATAAACCTTTTATTGAGGCATGGGAACTATAAACTAGGTTGGGAGGACTCATTTTATCAATATGTCAAGTCTAAAGAAGTAAGAATAAAGGGAAAATAAAATTATATTTTTTTGTCTGTCGGTCTCTCTTTGCCCTTTTCCAGGGACAAGCCAGGAAAGAATGAAAATGTGCATAGAATGACACTGAGGGTGGTGGTCAGGTATCGACAGGAGTGACATGACCTGGAGCCCACACAGGGGCTGAGGCAGCAATATTTCCCAGCAAGCCTCTGCTTCTATTGCTCAGGGAACTGTGTAAATCAGATAAATGCCAAACTCGTAATTCACCCAGACACGGCTTTTACACCAGCTAGGTCAATCCAATTATCTCAGAGCAGGGACAATGGGAAGAGTGTATGAGGACATATTAGGCACTTTCCACTGGTAAAAGAGATGAAGAGATACAAGAACTCTACACCAACCACACTGCGCCTTTGTGACTTACAGCTTGACACAGCTTCAAGCTCCTATCCTGTAGGCTCAGACTCATCTTCCCAGGACCCGGGGACCACTTTCCTCTTGGAGCAAAAGTAACCTTTTCAGTAAGTTTTGTACCTGCTACATCTGTACTCAAAGACCCTTTCGTGACTTGAAATGGCTCCAGGCAACACTTATTAAGAGTTCACAATATGCCAGGCACTGTTCTACATCATTTGTAATTATTACTTTATTTAATGCTCATAACCTCAGATAGGTACTGCTATCATCTCCATTTCACATATAAAGAAACACAGGCACAGAAATATTAGGTTACTTGATCAAGATCACAGTTAGCCAATAGTAGAGGAGGGATACAAACAAAACCTTCTCTTAAAAAACTCTTTTTATTGTGGAATAGTTGCTCTATGATATCATGCAAGTTACAGGTGTATGATATAATGATTTGTAATTTAAAAATTTTATACTCCATTTATAATTATTACAACATATTGGCTATATTCCACATGTTTTACAATGTCCTTATTGTAGCTTATTTTATACATCATAATTTTTACCTCTTAGTTCCCTACCCTCATATTGCCCCTCCCCACTTCCCATTGCCAACTGGTAGCCACCAATTTGTTCTCTATATCTCTTAGTTTGCTTCCTTTTTGTTTTATTCACTAGTTTGTTATATTTTTTAGATTCCACATATAAGTGATATCATATAATATTTGTCTTTCTCTGTTTGACTTATTTCACTTTCACATAGCCTAATGCCCTCCAAGTTCATCCATATTGCTGTAAATGGCAGAATTTTATTCTTTTTTATTGCCAAGTAGTATTCCATTGTGTATATATGTGTGTGTGTGTGTGTGTGTGTGTGTGTGTATCTTCTTTATCCATTCATCTGTTGATGGACCTTAGAATCCATATCTTGGATTCCATATCTTGCTTCCATATCTTGGCAAATATAAATAGTGCTGGTATGAACATTAGGGTGCAGGTATATTTTCAAGTTAGTTTTCCTTGCTTTTTTTTTTTCAGATATATACCCAGAGGTGGAATTGCTGGATCATAGGATAGCTCTATTTTTGGTTTTCTGAGGAACCTCCATACTGTTTTCCATGTTGGCTGCAGCAATTTACACTCCCACTAACAGTGTGTCCCCTTTTCTCCACATTCTTGTCAATATTTTTGTGGAGAAAACCTTCTCTTTTAATGACCACAATGTGTTGTGGGAGAAAGCATTGTCTTAGCTTGAGTTTATTGCTACTCAAAAGGCTCCAACACAAAATAGGATCAATTAAGTATCTTAAAATCTGACCAAATAGAACAGTCCTTTGCCTCTCTTAGGGTAGAGATAGAGATGAATAGGAAGAGAAAGCAAAAAAGAATTGAGCAAGAATGAAGAGAGAGCAATCTTGAGCAATCAAAAGCAAGGCCTACAGTGGATAAACAAACTGGGATACACCCATACTGTAGATTATTGTTGTTGTTCAGTCACTAAGTCATGTCTGACTCTTTGCCACCCCATAGCCTATAGCACGCCAGGCTCCCCTGTCCTTCACTGTCTCCTGGAGTTGGCTCAAACTCATATCCATTGAGTCGGTGATGCTATCCAACCATCTCATCCTCTGTTGCCCCCTACTTCTCTTGCCCTCAATCTTTGCTG